TCCAGATAGGAATGCTTCTTAAGTTAAGACGAAGATTGATCATCACGCGGAGGTGGAAAAGACCAAGGGCCTATCTACATCTTTACGGACAGTGATGGTGGTGGTGGTGGTGATGATGATTCACATACCTCAGGCTTGAGATCTCGGTGCACAACCCCACAAGAATACATAAAGTTGAGGGCTGAGATGAGTTGCCTCATAATCTGACTTGCCACAGTCTCGGTGAATCTACCTTTCTTCCTGATTCTGTCCAGTAGCTCACCACCCCGTAAGAGCTCCAAAACAATGTAAGTATGTGCCTTGAAAAAAAAGAAAACAAATAATTTTGTACAGATGAATAAAAAATTCTAATCAGAGAACCTGAAGGGAAGAGCCATATGCAGGACCTAGTCCTAATTGGAAAATAATATTAAAGTGAACCTCAAAGAAGCAGAATGGAAGTATATGTACCAACTTCATTTTGTTCATGATAGAGACCAATGCCAGTCTCCTGTGAGTCCCATGGAATTTCATGTGTAGTTGAGTATCTCCTAGTTTCTAGTAAGTACTCTGCTCTGTGTGGTTAGGTAAGAACTGTGTATTATGTGGGCATGTACAGGACCCAAATTTTCAAGACCGAACTGAGAGAAAAATTCTATCTTAGCCTGACTGCTGGCTTTTCAACTTCAGTCTTCAAGAATTTTACTACGAATATTTTTCTCTTGCTCAGTGGGATGCAAACTACCAATTTCATCAGAAATGTAATGGTCAACATATTCATTTATATCCCCCCATTTAAACATAGAGGAAAGGATAGAACAGGGGGGGAACAAAAAGCCCACAAAAACGCTGATGAACCTACACTAATATTTTATATATGAAAGAGCATTTCTATATTACAGAAATAATTTACTCTTACATTTTTATTTCCAATTCCTACCTCAATAATAAATTCCACCCTACTGGGTTTCTTATTTTAGTTACAAGAATTATTACTGTTTTACAATTATTGCAGAAAACTTTAATGAAAACCTTTTCAGTTAAACTAGCAACTTCCACACATGAACTAAATTTTCTGTAAGCATATACACTGATAGAGTCAGTCACCAACGTAACTGCTTCATTAAATATTTTTAATACTGGCATATAAGATATCTTTTAGGTCTAAAAAGAGTCCCAAGAACTACGTTTTCTTTTTACACACAATACATCAAATGTGAACCTTAAATTCTGAAATCCCACTTAATATTCAAGAACTGCTGTGCATCATATAATTCCCACCACCATTCCTTCTGCTGAAACAGATGTTTGATACACATAATTAAAATAAAGATTATGATGACATAATTTGTGGTGGGATAGAATGACCAAAATTACCATAACTGCAAAGTCATCAGCAAGAAGTCGATACCACAGGCTATGTCCAAGCTGATGTAATATAAACAAATACAAGGGCCAAGCGGTAGCCAGATTACTACTGAAGTGGGTGTTAATAGCATATGACTTATTCTGTAATTATCTTATCTGGCAAATATAAATCTAACCAGTCACTTCATATGCCAGTCAATATAATAGCTGTGTTCCTACTGAACACTTAGAGTAATATCTAAGCTTCACACACTCACCTCATCATAATATACTTCATGAAGGTGGACAATATTTGGATGGCCCTGGCACATGAGCAGTAAATTGATTTCCTGTGTGCAGTCAATCTTGTGAGTCATTATTTTCACTGCAAACTCCTTCCCTGTTTGCCGATTTGTGCACTTACGGCACACTGAGAAACTTCCATATCCAAGTATTCCATCTTTGAGATCCAACTCATAGTTCTCAAAGAAAAGGGATTCCTGCAGAGAAGGAATAAACTTGTTAGTTCCATCAATGAACACTTTTTCATTTGCAAATTATGGGGAAATTACTATACACAGTACTCCTTGAAACATCTAAATATATTTTCCACCTGTTTATAATCCCCCATTTTAGTATCCACAGAATGTTTTCTGGTGGAACTGGCATGTGGTAATTAGTAATGTAACAGACAATAAACTGCATAAATTTCAATTTTCTTCTTTCTTTTTTTTTTTTTTTAGAATTTGATGAACACTTCCAAGGATGGTTGAATAACTCAAATCAATTATTTACTGATTACATTTGCAGGCTGTATTTTTTTCTTCTTTTCTTTCTTTCTTTCTTTCTTTCTTTCTTTCTTTCTTTTTTTTTTTTTCCTAAATTGAGTCAATACAACAACATTGCACTGTAGCCCAGTACACTGCGACCATAACATCAAACGTATCTTATTAGATTTAGTTTAGTAGGCATAACTGCCATACATCACTCTTCAGCACATATTCAAAACATTTCACTTGTTAAAATTTAATGGGAATGTATCATTACTTACCTCGAATTTGAAGGATAAAATATTTTCTGAGTTGAAAAAACTGTCTCCAGTCGGCTGACCACTGAACACATTTTCACTAGGCATTGGTCTTACATAGGAATATCCCTGCAACACACAATCAGTAATGTATAACACACATACGTAAATAAGCCAATTCTAATTTACTTTATACACATTACTATGACTTTTATAACATGAAGAATAGAAGCTCTAATAATCAAAGAAACAGTGCTGAAAATATATATATATATATACTTCACAGGGCTGAAATTTGACCCAAGAAATATAAAATCTGTACCTCTCAGCTTCCATACAAGCCCATTATTATACCTGATCCCAAGTCAGCAAAATCTAGTCTACGTTAACACAACCAGTTTATTTGAAATCAATTTTAATACCATCATGCCATCTTTAAGTCTGTTTAAAATAGTCTCGTCCCAAGAAGCTTCCTCAACAGAGATCTGTGTGTTTCCTTGTCTTGTGTCTGAGATATATGTCCAGCCCATTACAACCTAACTATATCACGAGGCCAGCATAACTATGAACTTCATCCTTATTAAGTAATATATTTATTCCTCGTTCAATTCATCCCTCTTGGACCAAATTATTTTCAATTGGCAACTAATTTTCTTTTCATGGATCATACCCACAGAGCCGAGTGAAAAAAAAAATTTAAGCAACTTAATTTTCTGTGCAGTGGAGAATACATGAGAGTTCTCTTAGTGCATACTGGCAAACATATCTGAACTAATTTTTTTCCAGTTTACTAATGAACCTTCTCTTTCTTGTTGTTTGAGATACTTAAATTCTGGCCAAAAGAACAAATCATAACACAAGTGAACATCTTAAGGGGCTGTAAAGTTAACTCCATAACATTTCCACTGCTTCCAGTCTGCAATCCAGGGTCAAGGGCCTCCCTGTTCCTCCACCCTGCCCCCTCTTAATCTTCCTTCAATTTCACATAGCATATTCTGTGATTTTTCTCTTTTGCTTTCACCTTACATTTCATAACATGCTGACAGCCACAGAACAACACAAATGTTCTCTTTTGAAGTTACTGTTGACTAAAATATTTTAGCAAACAGTTTTAACTAATTATTTCTGCTGACCACAATATCATCCTTCTCAAACTTATTATACTACTACTACTACTACTACTACTACTACTANACAGAATAAAAGCAGACAAACATTCATGCCTCGAGTGGAATTCCAACCCACAACCCCAATATCTGAGCAGGCAAAAACAGTCCATGCCTTAGATCATGCAGCCACTGTGACTGGCACTAGTTATATTAATACTTCACATAATAATGCTTTGTATAATTAACAGAATATTAATACTTCACATAATAATGCTTTGTATAATTAACAGAATAATCATTTCACTTTAGAAGTTAATGTCCTCCACATTTTTGCTATTACTGTCTGCAATTTGTCATTACCATTATTATTTTAGGAATACTTGATGTCATGTCTTAGATTTCTTCCTCATGAATATCCCAGTCAGAATATTTAACCCTGTTGCAGCCCCATGTCATAACTGCAATGACAAGGTTTAAATGCACAATTATTTCTAGTAGTTAAGGTCTAAGGACTACCACAAGCATCTTTATTATTACAACAGTTCTAAACAGCAGGCCCTGCAGTTTCTATAACCTGTTCTAAAAGCCGTGAAAGCTTCAAGGAAAAATTGTCCTTTAGCACTGCATGTAAAGTGGGACACACATTTCTTCTTACCCTGAATGTGCTGTCAGAACTCAGTGGTGAAGTCCTATGTGAACTGGATGGAGTATCAGGTTCGTCAGAGATTTGTGTTGCATCCATCTTGTTTGATGAAATAGGTGTAAATGGGGCTGAAATTCGTTTCTGCCCCAGAGCAGTCCAGTTGATATCCTGTGAGGTAAGACACACAAATTNTAGAGATTATAATGATATAATTTGTGGTGGGACAGAATGACCAAAATTACCATAACTGCAAAGTCATCAGCAAGAAGTTGATACCTCAGGCTATTTCCAAACTGATGTAATATAAACAAATACAAGGGCCAAGCNTATACTGAAAACACAAGTTTTCTGGACTTTGTCTGCCATCTAAAATTCTGAAAACAAGAAAGTAACATTTTGGGAGCTGGGTCTGCTCACATTCTCAGCTGTGCCTGTTACAAAAGAGTAAATTTCAATCACTGAATCTGGATCTTACTGAGTGTATACTCTTCAACAGAGAACAGGAGTAGATCCATCTCCTGAAATGCCATGCTCATGCTTTCAGAATATCAACAGAATGCCATGGAAACTAGTAATTCAAAGTGTAACATATCATCGCCAGAATATTTGAGAACATATCAGTTTAAAGATGAATATAAAATATAAAAAGTATATACACTCTGAAATAGTGCCCACAGAATGGGTACAACTTTTAGATCTCTGCCACTTCCTATTTAACATATTATTTTTCCTGGCAGGGAAATCTGCACAAAACAAAAGCTCAGTAGGAACAGCTGGTCACAGCCAATATTCGGCAAGCGTTCAAAGAAACTTTGTATCAAATACAAGGTAAGTGCTGATACAAACCTTCTTCTGAAATTGTGGAATGCCGGTACATTATGTATCATTTTCCTAAAGCTACTCTTGCACACCAGAAACATGGGTGGCTCTAGCTTGCTATGACTAATATAACATTTTGCAAATAAGTGGAACAACACAGCAATATTAAAGTTTGTCCTGTTTCAATTGTACATTGTGTAGTTTTTGCTTACTGAAAGTTTAAATAATTACGTCCTCAAGAAATAAAATTGAGTCTAATATGTAAGAACATTTTAGTTCTCTTGATTTTCTTAGCACATATTGCTATGTATAAGACATAGTTCGAATACACTTTTAAAAGAATACAAGCATATCAAGGAGAAAACTTACTCTGAAGAATGGGTGCCTTTTTACATCTTCTGCACCATTCTCTCCTCCACCCAAACGTTTCTCTGGATCCTTCACCAGCAATTTTAATATAAAATCTGACGCCTCAGGTGATATACTATTTGGGATGCGGGGTTTTGCAGTTAGGATGCGGCTGTAAAAGATAATTTTGGTTTTAATTTTACCATCACAAAAGTGCATTAAATTATCCATTCATACTTATTGTTTACAAAGGTATCCAAATCCAGAACTCTTCAATGGAACCAACAGAATAGGTGCCTCTTACACTTTTACATGCGACTGGAAATGGATCCATTTTCTGAAACTCTCTTCTTTAGAATACAGGAACATTGACAAAGTCCAAAAACTCAGTAATCCCTTATTATGTTTAGCATTATAAAGGAGGGGATTGTGAACATTCTACTATTCGTATTCAAATTTATATCTTCCCTCCCACTCAAACCACATGTCTCTCCTGGTGGGATTGAAACAATATTTTCTGTGTTAGGAACTGTTTATTTAAAACCAAGGGGACAACCTTAACTTGTAAGTTACACAACAGATGTATCAAATGATGAGAGAAACTTGTTTAATTAAAACCTTATCACTGGCAAGTTGTGACTTTAGTCCCCTAGCTCCCTCTACACTGTGCAAACATACAGGTCTACATGGCTCTTGGGGACTCGTGTTTGATTATAATGCAGCTCTCAGTCAGTGGTAACATGTCAGAATGGCACAGCTTGACTGTTGGTCATACAACAGGTTGTGTGTCTAGGCCATCTGGGCACCTGATGGAGCACTACATGACTGTCTGGGCTCTGCACCTGCACTTACACATACAGGCAGTGAGAAGGGTATACTCAGCCTCCAATGTGAGTCCCCTGAAGGGACAAATAAAGTGGAAGCTGTGAGACAGCACCCCAGAGATAGAAAAGAGCCTGATGGTAAGACAGGAGTTTCATAAAAGTAACGGATGTTAATATTTATGGAATATATAGCCCTAGAAGAATTGCTGTGATGCAGACAAACTGATGTGGCAATGCAGCACAGTAATCATATAGTGAAAATGTGGATAATGAGGTAGGTGCATGAGCTTGTGAAGGGAGCCAAGGAGGAAGAAGAGCTACAGGAATATAGAATGGTAAAAAGGGCGCATGAAAATGTCAGAAGGCAAGACGATAAAAAGAAAAACCTGAGGTCCCCTCTGCAATATTATGTTTGGATTCTGGATAAAAATAAATCTTTGGCTACAATAATAGTCAAATGCAGAGACTTTATCTGATCACAGGCATCTGTCAGAATTGTGCATTACAAAGACACGAAGAGACTCTGCGTCACATCACAATTGTTAATGTGCACATTATTGCCCAGCTTTCGGCTCTGTTTCCTTCTCTCCTAACTGAAAGATATAGGTGATCAGCTAATGCCTAGCTCAGACAATAATTTACAAAACATTTAATAATAATCTATTATAGAAGAATTCTATCTTCTAGAACATAACTCTGTGTTGTCTGTTGAAAGTCAACCGACAATTCAGAGGAACTTTTGCCTCCATCTTCAGGATTTTGCTTGCTGCCTGCTTCATGCTGATGTCTTGCTTTGCTTACACTTTGACCCTAAAAATTGTGACGACACATTCCTAAGAAAGAAAGGTTAACTTTTGATGGAGACTATATGGCAGTATATCCCAGATGAGGGGACTCTTCATAGCCACTGCTGTGAGAACCTCACATCTCTCAAAGTATTACAAAACTCTGTTCATGCATGATATAGAAGCAACTTTCTGGGCATACCAACTGACTGCATTCCCATCTTTGGTGCTTCTGTGCTTCTATATCCCAGTCCCACTTACATGCAACACAATTCTGCACTTCTGAGCCCATATAATCAAATTTTCATAATTCATCACCATTTATTATGCTTTCCCTTAAGTCTAGGTATAGACAAACATTGCCTGAAAACATGTTGGCCCCTTCCAGGCACCTATCGACTGCTGAGTGGCAGAGTGGCTCCTTTTGATNTTGCCGATTTCTTATATTTCTTCTCCTACCCTGAAGATGGACGCGATACGTTCCTCCGAAACGTCGGTTAACACCACATATACACGGTGCCAAATCCCAGAAGACTGCTTTCTTCAATATATATGATGAATATATATTTTAGTTATTTTAGTATAAAGACAACAGGGCATGCAATAAAGTAGTTCGACATACATCGAAAAGCACCTGAAGATGGCACTTTTGTGCTGAAACGTGTAGTGCAAGAGAGAAGAGTAAGGTGAATAACTGTATGCACTGTAAGATGGTCAGAATAAATCATGGACAAATGCAGAGACTTTATCTGACCATATGCATCTGCCAGAGACTCCGCGTCACATCACAACTGTTAATGTGCACATTATTGTCCAGCTTTGGGCTCTGTTTCCTTCTCTCCTAACTAAAAGATATAGGTGATCAGCTAATTCCTAGCTCAGACTTTATTTCGTATTTGTCTGTGATTATGAAGAAATATCTCTGTGCATTCTGTTTCTTTGCCATACTTGAGTCTCTACCTCTACTAGATATATGCATTTATTTCATCATTATTAAATAGTCTGGAGCAGCCATGAATCATGTTTATAAAACTCTGTGTAAAGGACATTTTGTGGTAAAGGCAAATGTGGGTCACATCCCATTACAAAAACTAGTAACTCACCGTCGTAAACGCTCCTCATATCTTCTTTTCCCCTTAACACTGAAGGGATGATTTCCTGTTAGCAGTTCGCATGTCAGAATTCCAGTGCTCCACCAGTCTGCTGCCTGCAATAAGTTAAATTTGATGTAATGGCCACAATAAAACATATTCATCTTGCCACTACATTCTGCAAAAATAGAAAATTAACAGAATGAACAAAATTTGCTGAGTTTTATCTTGTTTCCAAATTTCTCTGGAGCATTCCTCTGATTACTGCCCTTTTATTTCCTCATCCAGTTCATATTCACTTTTTTACTGACTTACGTTAGGTACAAAAGGTAAAGTTGTGTTTTATAATTAAGCAATTAAGCACTATGCATTTAAGATGTGGGGAAGTGGAGGTATGGCTCCACCATTCTTGATCTCAGCAGTAGATGGAGGTGAGTGGTCAGCTTCATGTCCCAGCCACTTTAACAGCAGTGAAAGAGTCCCCTGCACCCTTTGGATAGCAGGCTGGCTGGACCCCATAGCTGGTCTGGATGCTGTGGAGTACAGAATAGTCTCTTTCGCCATGCCAGAAATGGAACCCTGGGTGTGCAGCTCATAGCCTGTGATTCAAATCTTAGCCTGAAATAGACCATCTTGACAAATTTGTGCACTTTCATTTGGTCCTTTCAGACAAGTGTTGGACTAAAAGAGGTCATATCCATTTCATATTACATATGCTTATTCCCATTTTATTTCATACTAAATAACCAACAAAAGACATTTTCTATGAACCACTAACATACTGTAGAGTTCACAGAACAGGGAACACCATGATTACAGTGGATGTTCTATGTGGCGATCATTGCATTATTCTCCAGTATTATCAGGAGTCACTTATGTAGTCAACAAACATTCTGATCTGTACGAAAGTGATCGCAGGTTGTGCTTACTCAGGTGTTTTGCCTTTAGATGTGAATTCCATTATTCATGCAGTGAAGTACAGAATTCACCAATGAGTTTTTACAATTAGGTTATGGGCTGGAAGGCTGAGGAATTGGGAATAACTGTCAAGCAGGGGCAAGAAAGTGTTATCTCCTCCACAGCATCCAGACTGACTCTGGAGATCGTTCATCAGGTGGATGCCAGGAGGTAAAGCAGACTGTGCATGAACCTGACCACTCACCTTCATCTAGTGCCAAGGTGAAGTATGTACGGAGCTGTACCTCCACTGATGGTGAATTATACAGGACAACCTAACAAAGAAAAATTTGCACAGACTGCTGCAATCAGAAATTTATTAATTTATTAATTTATTTATTAATTACCACATTAACAAGTTCCTACAGAGATGTATGTCAAAAAGTTGTGGATCACAGCATCAGTTTGTGCAATCAGCGGGTACCATAATTTTATGGATTTTAGGAAATTATTATTGCAAGTAATAATGCATTCCACAGTCCACTAAATTGAAGTGACAGCGCAGCAATTTTAGTTACAAGTAACTATACGTGATGATGGCCATGTGAGGCTGAAACATCATGTAGAAGAGTGTATGTAGGATAGAATAAACACTAATCCATGGTAGAATGTGATGAAAAGAAACAATCTAAGAGGAATGTGCAGAATGAAGAAAAAGTTTAAAACAGTCAAGCATGGTTAGAAATCAGTCCTCACAAACTGATGAGACACTTCTTTTAATTTAGAATATAAAAAACAATTTGCTGAACTGTTGAGTTCAGTGATTAACACTCCTACTCCATAATGGAAACCATCAGGTTTGAAGCTGCACTAACAAAAGTTCTTTATGGTCCTCCTCAAACAAACAGTTCAATGAAGTTGCAGTTACTATAACCTATCCACTTCAAAACATGGTTAAACTAAGAAATGATAATAAACCACATCAATGTGACTGTATTGTTAAATGCACGGCAGGTGTACGTAGACTCTTGACAGTGAATCATATCAGACAGTGCTGTGAATTAGTGCAGTCTTTTGTTATTTTAATATTATATTAAATCAGAAAGCTATCTCGGTAAGGGTCGAGTGCAGTAATAAACTGTGTGCATGTCACAACCGTGACCAGCAGTGACAGACACATGCTGTAAGTAAAGGTCAGGAGCAAAGAAAAGATGACCACATATGATACAAATTATAAAAATATTGACGTTTACCCTGGAAAACTTTGTGATAGGGCAAATTGTTATGACTACAGATAGAACTATTGATCTGATGGATTGTTACAATGCTGAGGAAGATAAAAAGTTAACAGTTTAAACAAACAATTTCATTGTTTATGGCTGATTCTGTTTCTGTTAAAATTAACAGACAAATATGATCTCGCAAGTTCATCATATGGGTATTTAGTACAGAACAAAATGATAAGCGTGGCAGTGAAACTGGGACCTATGCAAATATTAGCTACAGAAAATTAGATCTTCGTGTTGCTGTCACTGAACTTCGATTTTTACGTATATAAAATATTAAGGGCCCCACATCCACCTAGGGATGGTACAGCAGGCTGCACATATTGCTATACTCAAATTTAATCCTTCAAACATATTCACCTTTCTGCCATTCATATAGCTGTATAAGATATAGGCCTATATTTTGACAAAGTTTCGTATAACAATTCAAAAGCAGTATAATAGTTTCCATTCCCAGTATGGCACATCAACTACGTAGGTCATTTAAGAAATAATGCACATAATTTTTGTTTATGACCATGTTTATTTTTTTAATATCTCTTTTCAGTCCTTCAATATAGTCCCCCTGCTTCTCAATGACCGAGTCCCAACGTGTGGGAAGCTTTACTATTCCATCCAGGACACCATCTTTGTTTATCTGTCGAAGGCTCAGGTTCTGCAGCAGAAAGCTCTTCCAGAGAGGGAAAATGACGGCCTCGCATAGGTTGTTTCAACTTTGGGAGTAAGTCAAAGTCTGGTGGACTCATGTCTGGGCTGTAGGGAGCATGAGGCAACACCTCCCAACTGTGTTGGCGCAACTTTTCTGTTGCGACATTTCCGATGTGCGGGAGAGCGTTGTCCTGGAGAATGATCGGCCCAGATTCTAGCAACAGGTCGGTTTTTGTGCATTTTTCTGCACAGATTTTGCATAAAATCATGATAATGAACTGCTGTGACACTTTTCCCGCAAGGAACTCTGTCTGTCATGATGATTCCTTGGTGATCATAAGCAAAGATCATTTGTTTAACCTTTCATTGAGATCGTCAAATTTTTTTGGTCGTGGGGAAGATGGACCTCTCCACTCATTGGACTGTGATTTCAGCTGTGGAGTTCTGTCGGGTTTTCTCCATGTAAAGTTTCGATCTTAATGCACGACCTTTGATCTTCAATAGTCACAATACCTGAGAACCGTGCAGGCTCCATTTCTAACTCACGTTATTTAAGAACAGAGTACATTATAAATGAAACAAAATAACGCGCTTCTTTCTCAAGCCCTGAACTGTAACTGACGTGAGGCTCACTGTTGTTGCATCATCTAATTCGCAGTGTTGCCAACCTGTGCATTATTTATGAAATAACCCACGTACTTTAATGAGGTGCCCCTTTTTCCATGACAGTCATAAGTGATGGGTTTGGCTACATACAAATACTAAACGCTACTACTACGTCAGCAAAATATCAGGTACTTACCATTCCATGTCCGGAGGGGGCTTCCTGAACAACTTCTGGGGCCATGTACTCTAGGGTGCCACAATAAGAGTATGTACGAGGCTGAAAACAGAATTACAGAGTATATGAGGCACAGGTGTTGACTGCTGGTAAGCACTGACTAAACTGTTATTTCTCTGCTAGTTGAAACCTAAGGTTCAGCATTACTAGTGCAAAAGCTTGCATGCCTTTCAGAACTATCCTGAGTCAATTTCATCCACTTCCCTCCCTCACAACACTTTTCCTAAGGTCCCAACTCCTCAGCCTTCCACATTCCAGAATGATTCTTCAACAGAATTCTATATTAATCTCTCTCTAAATGTTTTAACCAATTTTGTAATCTATCATTACGTCCCCAGAGCCATTTATAAATATTAATAGTAATTATATAATATTAACTATAGTGATACCCTAAGACTTAATAGCATTTTTATATTAAGAATGACATATGCTCAGTTCTTGCTGTAACTGTTCTGAGAAATTTTAGCAACGAACGTCTCAATAAGACTCTCGTAACCCAAAACATCCCATGATGTGGCAGTTACCCAGCCCAGCTTAAGGAAGCTTCTGGAAGCTTGTATAATGGCTAAAAAGAAGTCTGAATATTTCTTAGTGTTCCCCTTTGTCACATCGAAGCAGGGCCCCTTAAGCCCTGACACGAATTCCTCATGTTCATCCATTACCATTGAAGTGCAACCACGTAATCCCTCTCAACACACATGTAACTTGTGGTTACACGGCATCCAATTGTTCCCTTGCCACTGTGAACCTTTCCACTGCCAGAAACTCTACGCATGCAGCGAGAGCGAGCAATAACACAAGTGTGAATACTAGAGGAGACAACGCAGAGGTGAAGTGTTCAATGGGATAAAAACTAAGGGCAGTTACAGAAGTGGTCACCGACGCATGGTAATAACAACCCCATGGAACGATTATAATTTCATAGTCTTAAAAGAGTACTAGCTGGGTCATTCTTTGATGCCTAAGTTGCTCACATATTTCCTTTTCCTAGGCCCCAGTATTTTCTTAAACCTTTGTTTCCAAAACCATACAATTTAGGGACTTTCCCCAAAGTAAGTTTCCCTGATTCACAAGCACAAGTAGGTTTTTTTTTCTTTCCAATTTTTGATGTTCTGGAATGATAACAGCTTTTGTACTGAAGTCATACTAATTTACAAAACATTTAATAATAATCTATTATAAAAGAATTCTATCTTCTATAACATAACTCTGTGTTGTCTGTTGAAAGTCAACCAACGATTCAGAGGAACATTTCGCCTCCATCTTCATGGGTTTGCTTGCTGCCTGCTTCATGCTGGTGTCTTGCTTTGCTTACACTTTGACCCTAAAAATTGTGACGACACATTCCTAAGAAAGAAAGGTTAACTTTTGATGCAGACTATATGGCAGTATATCCCAGAGGAGAGGACTCTTCATAGCCACTGCTGCGAGAACCTCACATCTCTCAAAGTATTACAAAACTCTGTTCATGCATGATATAGAAGCAACTTTCTGGGCATACCAACTGACTGCATTCCCATCTTTGGTGCTTCTGTGCTTCTATATCCCAGTCCCACTTACATGCAACACAATTCTGCACTTCTGAGCCCATATAATCAAATTTTCATAATTCATCACCATTTATTATGCTTTCCCTTAAGTCTAGGTATAGACAAACATTGCCTGAAAACATGTTGGCCCCTTCCAGGCACCTATCGGCTGCTAAGTGGCAGAGTGGCTCCTTTTGATCCCTTATCCCCTAGCTCCCTACATATAACCTTGGCTACAGGTAAGCAGATAGATGGGTGAATTACCGTCTCGTTTGGCATAAACTTCTTAGACAGCCCGAAATCTGTAAGAATAAGGTGTCCTTCTTTGTCAATTAACAAATTCTCGGGCTTCAAATCCCTGTAGATGACCCCGATCTGCAACAAACAAATGAATAGTAGCATTTGAAACCTATCCCAAATTAATTACAAATATTCAATATAATATAATTATATTCTTACGAGTTGTCTCTGAGTAAGTAAGTTACTGTTTTATTGAGCTTTATTAAGCAACCTATTCAACAGTGTGCATACCTTATGAAGTTGTTCCAGAGCTAGAACCACTTCGCCCACATAGAAGCACACATCCTTTTCAGGAAATTCTTGCTGTTCACAAAAGTGGGCAAAGAGGTCCCCTCCACAGACGTAATCTGAAAGAACAGTGAAACAACCCTGTTACAGCTTGCACTACAAATTTACCAGAGACCCTACCAGAACCACAGTAATATAGCATACATGCACTCAAATGCATTTCTTGGGGTCTGTTTACAATTGCACTATACAGCAGCTATTGGTCACAATATTGGCAATTTTATGCAGATCTGAATTTATTATTATTACTATTATTGTTATTGTAATTATTATTTATATTATTATTATATTTAATTGTCCGTTCCTTTATTGTTGCACCGCTAAACATATATACAGGGTTTACACAAAAGAATGGTGCGGTGACAAAAGTTAATAAGAAATTTATTTCTCAACTTACACAGGCACAATATACACTATCAGTGGCGGCAACTGTCCCAGTTTCTCATGCATTAATTACAAACCTTCAATGTGTGCACCCTGGGTCACACAACACACATCCACACAATGTAGCATGTCTGCTGTAATGGCCTGCAGTGCATGCGTTATCCAATCATGAAGTTCATGGATGGACGTGGGCAATGGTGGTACATAAATGTTGTCTTTAACGAACCCCCAAAGAAAGAAATCACATGGTGTGAGATCTGGCGAACGGGGTGGCCAGGGGAGAAGGTGGTTGTCTCCCCACTTGCAGCAGCACATCCAATCCAGTGCTGTGGAAGAACACGATTGAGATACACTAAAGATTCCTGTGAAAATGGGGTGGGGGGGGAGCTCTGTCCAGTTGTAGAATATAATTGTCATGATTGGTATTCAGTTGGGGTAACAACAGCATTGAGTTCTGCCAACCCTCCATACCGGCTGCAGCTGTCTGAGTGCCTTCATTAGGTACGTTGCACCACCACCACCACCATCACCACTTTGATACTTGTACAAGGTGATCTCTTCGCCGACCACAAGGTTCCTGCATATTGAGGTTAAATGCAGAATATTAAATATTCAAAAAATAAATGCAACCTCTTTTTACCATTTCATTCACTATGTCTTTGTGAGCACTTCAAGGACTGTCCTTGGTTTTTGTAACAGATATCATGTTCCGCAGACAATCGCAGAGTAATGTATAATTACACAAGCTTTCAATTTCTGGCTCCCACTAACTTTGCATTTTGTTTCCCAAACTGCCAGACAGTTTCAGCAACATCTTGGCTGACTGCTGCATGCAAGCTACTGTCAAATATGCAAGTTAGTTGATTGCAAAACAGCTACACGCTCTAATTATGGTTACTGGAAATCAAGTAATTTGCAGTGTGCCATATTTCATATTTGCATTCCAGGAAAAATCAAACACAAGCTGAAATCAAAGTTAACCCAACTTTAGACATCTTGGAATGCCGTCTTTGAGACGGGAATTTAGTATTAACACTTCTAGGGAGAAACCCATGCCAAACATCTTTTAATACAATGAGGTTAGTCTGCTCAATAAATACATACAAAACCGCAATTTGTGTTGAATTAACATTTAAACGTATGAAATAATCGCACCTATCCTGAAGATGTTAACTTCTGTCACTTATTTACAGTTGACACAATCAGTATACATTGAAATATGGCACACAGAACATACAGTGGATACCAGAAATAATTACAATTTTATTTGGATTACCTCATAGGAAGCGACCACTTTGTTAGCCCTAGGTGTAGAGGGGGGGAGAGATAATATTAACACTGATCTCAGCTAAATATGATAAAAGGTAAAGTTGTCCCTGTGCTTATCTGATTAAGCACTACGCCATGAAGACTTATAATAGAGAAGTGGATGTATAGATCCACGTTTTCTTGACCTTGGCACTAGTTGGGGGTGAGTGATCAGCTTCACGCTCCAGCAGCTTTACCCCCCAGGAAAGAGCCCCCACTACCCATTTGATAGGAGGCTGGGTGGGCCCCAGAGCCAGATTGGATGACATGGAAAAGGGAAAATTCTTGACCCTACTGGGACTTAAACTCCTACCCCAGTCATCCCTTAGCTAAATAAAGCTTGAAAATAGGAGAAGAAAGCCAAATGGTACACTTCAGTTTCTTTAAAAATTGGGACTTACTTGAGAGGGATCTATTACAGTGATATAAAATTTAGTCACAAATTTTGGGCTTCTTTTTCAAAAGGTTCCATATGTGGAGGTCTGTCTTGTCAGTCCATGATCCAGTATCATCACCTAAACTGCCAGACAGGTTTCTTTAAAATCTAACAGCTGTGACTTCCAATAAAATTGTTGGGAATTCAGATCTTGAACCTTACAGATCCATAACAAACACTTCTTCACATCAGGCCATACATGACCGTTTTCATTTAGGTCTATACCACAGATCTGCATTCAGAATCTGGTGAAGTTTGATATGAGAGATCTTTGCATAATGGCCAGTTCGATTTTTAGCAATATCAACCAACTACAGAGACTACTCTACATGAAGCCACAAATTGACTTTGCATATATATCATAACCCTTTCATACATTTTGTCATAAGTCTATATTGTGCATTCAAATGTGCATTGTACTTGACTGTCTAGTATATTTTGTCTTTCACAGAAATTCCTTAGAGCCAGGATAGTGCAGTCAATATAGCAACTGGCTACAGGATGGATAACCAAGGAGTTGGAGTTCGAGTACCGATACGGCCAAGAATTTTCACTTCTCCATATCATCCAGACTGGCTCTGGGGCCTACCCAGCCTCCTATCCAATGGGTACCAGGTGCTTTATCCCCGGGGGTAAAGTAGCTGGGGCGTGAAACTGGCCACCCACCTCCAACCAGCGCCAAGGTCAAGAAAATGTCATCTGTACATCCACTCCCCTATATATCTTCATGACACAGTGCTTAATTAGTTAAGCACAGGGAAAATTTTACCTCTTTTTTTTTAATGAAATTTCTTACATGAACAAGCAGCAGATGAGCTTGATAAACTACAAAGAACGCCCTTGGAAATGCTGTGTATGCATACTGTATTATGGAGTACACCCTTTCCAATCTTATTTACTAAATATTGCAATTTTTGTACTCACCAAGAATTAGATGTAACTTCTCAGACGTCTGGAAGGCATAATGCAGCTCTATCAGGAATGGGGAGCACTTGACTTCCTCCAGCACTTGTCTTTCTGTCTTCGTGTATTCAATAAATTTCTTTGTCTTCATGATGTCAGCCTTTTCCAGTACCTTCATCGCATACAGACGGCCAGAATCTGCACCGTCTGTTTTCCGCACCAGGAATACCTTTCCGAAACCTGCAACAAAGGAACACAATTTCAGTTACTATATACATGCCCATCTTGTGCTCACAGTGTTTTTCTTTTGTAGACTGTGAAGAGTTCTGACAATGATGTGTAACACTCAGAGTTACTGGGTTTTTGAACTTTGTCCATCATCCAGTATTTTAAAAACTAGAAAACACGTTTTGGAAACTGGATCTATTTCCAACCTAAGGTGAGGAGGGAGACACTGATCATTTAAACCTCCAAGAGGAAAATGTTGAGGATAAAGAGTGAACATTTTTTAGTTAGGTCTTACAAAAAGCAAGCGAAGTAAACAGGTCACAAACTGAAGTAAAACTGCTGTAATGCATGTAATAGGTTTTCTATGTGTAGCACTAGGTAGCAGCACAGCCTAGCTTCATGACAGTCTAGGTTAGCAGACAGTCATGCCCATGTTCAGAAGCTGGTTCCAGTAGTCAGAATGGTGACCGTGACTGAGAAGTGTATTATTGGAGAACAGCAGTCTGTTGTGAGATTTCTGTGGACAAAAGGACTCAGTGCAAAGGATAATTATAAAGAAATGTTTCCTCTTCAAAGTGGGAAGTGTTTGTCATGTAAAGCAATTCACAACTGGGTCAAGAAATTCTCTCAAGGACATTCAAAAGTCGCAGAGGATGCCCGACCATGTCACCCTGGTGAGTGCGACAGAAGCAACTGTGCACTGGGTGGAAGACTTGATTCCATCTCGCAGAAGGATAACTAGACAGCGTAGCAGCTGCACTAGGGTGTTCCCATGGCTTAGCATACAGCATAATGCAAGATCATTTGAAGTTTCAAAAAGCATTCACACAGTGGGTGTCCTGAGAACTGAAGGATCTAGAAACAATTAACCAAATGGGTCTGTCCTTGCAACATCTCTCATGGTCCATACAAGGGAACTGCAATGCTATGTGATGTGGTCATACTGAGGCACCAGGAGAAGGCACTAAGCAAGTTCTATCTAGAGTCAATGAAGGTAATATAAACACCCAGTGTAGAAAATTGAGAATTCCATTAGTGATGGGTTGCAACTATACCTGTGTGTCTTTACAGGGATGTCACAGCTTTACACAATTTACATCAACTACCTAGATACATAAACAGGCAATTGGAGCAAACATTTTTTGAAGTGGCTGTACTTTTCTTGGAAAAGTAGTCCATCCTATATGAAATGCACTATTTAATTTATGGGAAAGAATATTTTTACTCTGGTTGTTGATTTCATCACCAGAGCCAACATAGCTTGCAAAAGCTGAACACTTCTTACCATTTCAAGTCATGGTGGAAGCAACTTTCCCATTTCCCTACAGATGGAAATTATGTTCTACCAACTCCTCTTATTTTCTATATGAATGTAAGGTGTACGTTGCTACAATTTATTATTACCATTGTTGAAGGTTATGGGGGAAAACTAATAACTTGATGGTATTATTAACCTTTAGAAGTACCACCTGACCTAACATGCTAACAGTCTCCCGGCAGTTTACATTTGTCTGTTCCATAGGGTTCTAGCAATAAACAGTGACTGTTTCCCTAAACATTATTAACCAGCTGATTCTTTTTTACTGGATAGTCAACGTGTTTCCCACAAGGTATGAACTGAATTTTTATACTTTATGTAGAATAAATCCATCCCTTAAAGGGCTAAGCGTCTTTAAGCTCAGTTGAGACTTCATGAAACAAGAAGCCCTCCCTTGCTTGATAAGTGTCAAATTTATTTTGTAGTCTGCTTGAATCCCTAAACCTAACATCTGCAACAAATATGAGTCATCACAAACTGTACTCACCTCCAGCTCCCAGAACACTGAGCACATCAAAGTTCTGGCGGGACACTGGGTTGACCTTGGGTGCCATGGGCTTGGCGACATTTGCTGTAACAAGAGAAAGACACCACAATTATTGGCATGACAGGAAAGCAAATGCAATTAAAACAATGCACAAGTCATCCATTAGTTGTTACTCCCCCATATGAATGATCATTACATACTGCTAGCTGCAAGGACTCAGGTCTTGCTCGGGATAAGTTAGCAGGCTCCAGTTCAACTGAACATAGAACACTAAAATGGTTATCATACATGAACATTTCTTTGGTCTCCCATGCAACAACTGCAGACATGCCAGATCCCTACAGAAATGCAATTGGAAGTCGTTTTATTCATTGTAATGATAGGTTACCCCTGAAACTATATAATAATTAATTTATATTATATTTATAGCAATTATTTATTTAAACATGTAAAACTGTTATTTGTACTAAACGTCAGCTTTTAGTACCAATTGACCGACCAACTGTTAAGCACCCATTATCATCTTGCTTTTGGCAAAGAAATATCACTAATATTTCAATTCATTAAATGCAGCCCATAAACCGAACGGATTTAAAAGCTACACCTGCTGGCATGCCTTCTGTACATTTCTAGACAGCATACCAGAAGACAGAATGTTCTGAACTGAATGTTAGCAAGCATTACACTAATTTGTCTTCTTCAATGATGCTTTATCGTTCCAAATGTATGAATTCAGTTTGAATGATCAGCTGTTCCATATAAGCTATGTTAATCAAACTCCATGTTGTAACATCCCAGTACCTCTTATAAAAATATGTAATACAATATAAATAAAATAATCTCAGTCCACATTTCATTAAAAAAGAGTGGTAAAATTGTCAGTGACAGTACGAACTCAAAATTCATGCAGCTTGAAATAACGACAATTAAGGAACTTGCATAAACAAGAAGTTCTGGGAAAACTAATCAGACACTACTGGGTCAACATTTCTTTTATTAGCCATTGGTGGAAACGCTACACGTTAGAACAGCTAAAGCATAATAATACCACCACCATGGGCAACTGTATATATAGACAACATCAAATTTGAATATCTAACTCCAAGTATAAATAAGTATAACAAGTATAGCCTTCACTTGATAATAGGAAAGTTAAAAATCAACACAACCCAGATTCTGAGGAAAGGTTCCAGCAAGCAGTTACCCCACGTCACAACTATCACTACCACAGAGGAACAACCAAACACATTTACAGATATGTAGCAGTCACAAAGTCTAATATAAGACTTATAACATAAATTATAAATTTCTCAATCACTATTTAATTTTAATTTTTATCTTTTATAGTCAAGTTTTAAACTATGTTTGAACTACATTTAAATTAAAAGTATAATTATTAGTATAAAAATTCGTTCAAACACCATATGAATCTGTACTGAACGATGACGCAATTCAGGAACTAGTACCAGTATTCTTGCATGCCTGAAGATGACGCAAGAAAAGGGTTGGAACATGCAGCATTACCACCAACAGCTAATAAAACAAATGTTGACAAAACTGTGTCTATTTTATCTTCTTTAAAATTACTGTTGTCTAGACTGTCTCATTATATATTTTCTGTTTTCCTTTTTTAGTATTAATGCCTACCGAAGTCAATAAAACAATACGATCTGGAAGGCTACACTGTTCCTATTATTAATGGGACTGATTTACTGAACACTCAAGACTAAAACCTTATGGAAACCCATAATGAATCTGTCAGGTCATACAGATCTTCTCTGAGTTGGAAACCTCATTGCTGATGAGGGGAATCCAGATATGAGAAATATTCAAACTGGGGTGGCTAATGGGATTGGTTAAGGATGCCATATGGGCTAATTCCTTGTTCTTTCTATACCTGATGTTGCTTTCAATTTCCAAAATCCTACCATTATCCCAGCCTACCCTATGAATTTCTTCACAGGCATGTTGGGCTAATTTTGAATTTTCTAGAAGAACCTCTTTGAGACTGTGCCTGTGTTTATCCAGTTGTATGGCTAGAGGTCTGCCTGTTTCACCAATGTATCTTCTGCCACATTCAGAAGGAATACTATAGATTGTAATTATTATTAACTATTAATTGTAGTACCAGATCTGTCTATGATCTGCATTATCCACAAACTAGTCTAACACAATTCCAAAAAGGAATATGTTACATGGGGGTAAAGATCTTTAATCATTTGCCACCAAAAATCAAATCTATGTCTAATGACTTGAAAAATTTTAAAATTCAGTTGACAACATTTTTATTGCAAAACTCTTTTTA